AAATTGAACTGGGAGGGTCCATAGGTAGGGTGCAGTGTGTAGGTATCTGTGACCAGCCCCAGGAGACAGCCTTGAGGAAAGTGCAGAGGCTCCAGAACTCTCAAGTCCAGGGGAAGCGTAGATGGGACACACACTCCACAGAAGTCAAGCTGAAGCATCTTCCCTTGAGCATCTGGCTAAGGAGAAAGATCTGAACATAAGTATTGGCTTTGCCCCTTCTTGAAATAGCATAAAAATGACAGAAAAGATTTTCTGAGAGGACATAAACCCTGAAGGTCAAAGAGTAAGAAGAAAACAGCTTCAAGATTTCAGAGCTAAAAAGCACATGGATGAGTAGTAATGGACTGGGCAGAGAAGAGAGATTGCAAACAGACAGAGAGGCCAAGAAAGAATCCAATTCATGAAACAAAACCCCCCAAACTTGGGCACCGCTTGTGGCTCAGTGGGTAGGGGACCAGCCCCATATACCAAAGGTGGCAGGTTCAAACTCAGCCCCAGCCAAACTGCAACAAAAAATAGCCAGGTGTTGTGGCAGGCGCCTGTAATCCCGGGAGGCTGAGGCAACAGAATTGCCTAAGCCCAGGAGTTAGGAGGTTGCTGTGAGCTGTGTGAAGCCATGGCACTCTACTGAGGGCGATAAAGTGAGACTGTCTCTACCAAAAAAGAAAACAAAACAAAACAAAAAACTTGGAGGACTACAACAAGAGAAGCTGTAAGCTTGTTAAGAAACAAACCCAAAAGAGCAGACTTCTGCTTTTTTCTGGAGGGTCAGCCAGAGGCTGCTGTCCCAGGGAAGCACTTGGGGCAGGAGGACCTCAAGAGACCTCTCTGGAGGATGGCTGTCAGTTCACACACCATGTGGGTCTCTCTACTTGTTTCCCAGGACTCTAGCAGCCAGGAATGGCCCTTCTTGACAGGGAGGGAAAGATGGAAGACACAGACCTCAGGGACTTCTTGAGAGAGTGGATCAACAGCAAAAACCAAAGTCCACCTGCACTTAACAAGCAGCTAGATCCAGAGCAGGCAGAGAGGAGGATGTTTATCATGACATGTAGAAAAACCGGTGAGGAAAAGCAACCTGAGGCAGAGCCTACAGGGAGCAGCCTACCCAGGAACTAGGCCACAGTACTAAGAATCCAGAGAGGAGAGTGTGAAGGGAAACAAAGAAATGTGAGAAAAAATGGACCCACAGATGACCACAGCCAGGCCAGCTTGGGAATTCTCTAAAGCACAGGCAGGGAGCAATCCATTCAGATATTTTGGGGAGACTTCAAAGCTAGGATGCTAAACTCAGGTGGCTAATTCCGTAGAAGCTGAGAATAAAGACCCTGAGAAATGCATGGTCTTGATTTATCTCCCACTCTTTCTCCCAGGAAGCAGCCAGAGAATGTGCTTCCAATAAAATAAGGGAATAAACTAAGAAAGAGCAAAACACAGGAAATATAGATCCAAAGAGAAAGGCAAGGGGACTCTCTAGGCTGGGTCCTCAAGGCAGCAAGACTGGAGCACGCACTCCATAGCACGGTCTAACTCTTCCAGGAGGACTGGCTCATTAGAATGAGGTGGAGAGCTGAGTCCTAAGTGTACACTGTGGTGAACAGGTAACATCTACAACTAAGAGCAAATAAGACAAACCCAGGTTGCAATAATATACATTTGAAGAACAAGGAGATAACACACATAAGACTAAGTGTGGAGGCCGGGCGTGGTGGCTCATGCCTGTAGTCCCAGCGCTATGGGAGGCTGAGGTGGGTGGATCACCTGTGCTCAGAGGTTCGAGACCAGCCAAGACCCCCCTGAACAAAATGAGCCAGAGTGAGACCCCATCTCTACAACAACAACAGGACAAGACAGCCAGACCTTGTGATTCCAGCTCCACGGGGGGGGGGCAAGAAACACTACAGGAGGAAGAAGTAATAAAAAAAAAAAAAAGACTAAGTGTGGAAGGTGGCTGCAAACTGAGGCTATATTTCCTAACAGCCCTTATCACCAAGGAACAGATGAATGACTTTGATAAAAACACCCACGCTGCCAAAGCAAGGAACACCGAATGTCTGAATTTTACATCCTCTTGACCCCTAATATTTACAGAATGTTTAACTTTGAAAACTCGTGTCATTCACAACTTAGGAAAACAACACAGCATTAGGGTTTTACTTTGTACACACGCTACTGGGATTAATTTTTGTAGGAAACAGACTTTCCTTCTTGCTCCCTGAAAAACCAACATTCACAGATCACAGATTCAATCCAGAATCTGTCCTTACATTTTTTGGTCCTTACCTTCTTTTTAGTCTTCCCAGGATGTTTACAGTCTCTATCAATGTGATCACCAACCACCACATCTGGTATCTCTCCCTTCTTTATTGGGATGGGGATATTACAGAGCGGGCACACTGGGACCTGAACATCCTAAAGATAGAATGAACATAGATTATATCTGAGATTCAGACAACCAAACTTACAAAAGAAAAAAGTGTAGTTGTATGGTATACTTGAACTTGCATGGGGTACAGAAAACTTACATTGTTACCACTCATGAGAACAAATCACTGCTCGTATAATGGGTTAACAACAAGGCACCTCTGGTCAGGTACAGTGGCTCACGCCTGTAATCCTAGCACTCCGGGAGGCAGGTAGACTGCTTGAGCTCCAGAGTTCAAGACCAGCCTCAGCAAGAGTGAGACTCCATCACTACTAAAAAGATACAAGAACTAGGGCTGTGGCTCAAAAGGGTAGGATGCCGGCCCCATATGCCAGAGGTGGCGGATTCAAACCCTGCCCCGGCCAAAAAGAAAAAGATACAAGAACTAGTTGGCCATTGTGGCAGGTGCCTGTAGTCCCCACTACTTGGGAAGCTGAGGCAAGAAGATCATTTGAGGCCAGGAGTTTGAGGATGCTGTGAGCTATCCTGACACCACAGTACTCTAGCAGGGTGAACATGTGAGATTCTGTCACAAACAAAACACTAGTAAGGCATCTCTAGAACATGAGGGTGAGATCCAGTGGAATTTAAACATAATGGATCAACCGCAGGAATGACCCTGAACAGCTGAGTCAAAGGCAGCGAAGGAAGGAAGCTGGTGAAGCCACTCAAGAACCACCCAAGGTCAACAGGGCAGTCTGTCCAGCCCTGCCCAACACCTCCAGAGTGAAGATGACAGAAGGAAGCACAAGCCATAAAGATCCACCAGTTTAGAAGCAAACTTCTAAAACCCAAACCACAAAAGAAAAAAAAAGAAAATCCCCCAGTTTTTGTGGTTTTCTGTATGGCTTTTACACAGAAAGAGATTCACTCAGACAAAGGAACACACACCTAGGCTGAGCTCTTAGTATATAACCACCACTGCCGGCTGCAATCCAAGACTGGGAGCATCTAGAGAGGGTGACTGGCCCACCCAATATGCTTAAAAATTTGGGCCAGGACAAGAGTTGAGGAAAGTCAACAAGAAAACTAGGGTGGCAAACAACACAGATGGGTAGCAGATAATTACAGAATTGTGGGCCCTTACTGTCTGTGGGCTAAAGTCAAAGAGACATCAGGTGGGGTTCCCTCAGTGGGCCAGTTTTGGGGTCATGAATTTCACAAATGCCAGTTTGTTAAGAAATAAGATGCTACTAGATGACCTCTAGCCAGACTCCTCCCCATGTAGGAACATGGGAGGGCCCAGTCAACAAATGTAATGGGCAATCTGGCTTGGTCATCAGTGCTGGGTAATACAAGCGGTGACTCATCCCCACCCCTCAATAGCCTAGAAGACACAAGAGGGTCAGACCTTAGCCATCATGGATCACAGCATGTGAAGCTGAGTCACCCACATTTCTCCCTGCCTGCAGGGCAAAGCAGTACCCAGAAACAAAGTGAATGTGGGCTGGGAGCCTTCTGAAAAGCCAATAACCAGAGTCCTACATCTGTTAACTTATGCAAATTCGTTCTGAAAGCCATCTTTCAGTTTCCACTGTGCATTATTTGACTCAGCTATGACGGCAAGGCTGCAAACTTATCCAAATAAACAAGCATTTCTAATGCCTTCCTGACTAAATTTTCCAAGTATTAAAACAATTCTTGTACCCCATGAAAATTTAGCTACATGATTCCTTGGTGTAGCAGATCAAAGGCACCAAGTATTCTAATATGTAAAGCTGTTAAGGTAAGGTTACAAAAACCATTTGACTCCATGAGTTGCTGAAAATAAAATTTCAGTTGTTTTAGAGCCATGCTGTGCAACAGAACTTCCTGCACTGATGGAAATGTCCCGTATCTGTGCTGCCCAGTGGTCACTGGCCACATCCGGCTACTGGATATTATACCTTTGGCTAGTGGAACTGTGAAACTAGATTTTAAATTTTATTTAATTTTAAGTTAAAGAGCCACATGCTGCAAGTGTCTACTGTACCAGACAGCTCAGCTTTAGACTTAGAACCTTTTGAATTACCTTCTTGAATGCAAACGGACATCTGTGTGCAGCACATGTAAAATGATCTTTACAGAAATCTTGTTTACATTCATCACATTTTAGTGGAAGAAAATCTAAAAAAAAAAAAGGTAAAGTATTTTAAAGACTAGAAGACTTATAGGTATGTAGGTACTTACCTACACTAAGTGCTTCATGCCTATGAGATAAAAATACCCTCAAGGATCACATATGAGAAACAACTTTAGGCTCCACATTCAATAAACTATTAAATTATCTTCTCAAGAGAGATCCCATTTCTAATGGTACATGTCTCACAAGTATTTAAGTGGTACACTGATATCCACTTAGCCCTGGCAGCCAACCTCATACCTGGCCTTAGGAGGATACTAACTACCAATGTTGAACAGAAACTGCACCATGCCAGCTTCCCAATACTGAAAAGCTAGAAAGGCCAAGACAGAGAATTACTAGCCAATTAGCATAATGGCTAGTTCTCCCCCACAAAATAGCCAACAAAATACACTTCTATTAATACTTTCTTTAACAAATGTCTTAACGCTGTAATTGGGTAAATGAGGTGAAGGCTATGTTGATTAGTGGGATGTAAGTACTCCAATTTGTACAAATAATCAACACATTGAATCCCACAATGGCATAAATGTATTCATAATCTATGTACAAATGATTTAATCAAAATATATACATATACATTTTCTTTAAAAAGTACTTACCTAGCTGCTTGCAAGTTTTTTCTGAACAATGTTTCCCCAAATCAGGAAACTCCATTATAAGACGTGTTCAAAACACAGACAGCAAAATTAGGCACCACCTATAAGAATTAGAATAGTTAAGAGAAAAGCAGGGACTGTCCTAATTCCCCTGGGACTTTAATTTATAGTTAATGAAAGTAAACACAACTCTGTAGGTAGCATAAAATGGGAGTTTTAATACAAATACAAGATGAGACTTGGCCAGAGTGAGCCACTCAGAATCAATCCCATTAGGAGAGAATTGCTTTTCAGTAGTTTAAATTTGTAGTCTATGAAGCTCACCTTGAACTTAGGTTTTTGTTTTTTTGTTAAACCATATTCCTCCTCATACTGACAAAGGCTTCCCATGTTCAATTTACATAGCTGCCAGTGAAGATTACAACCTTGGTGAATTTTAAGTCACAATTTCAATCATGGGATGTACTTGCCGACAAACAAAACTGTTACTAAGTGCTGAATCATATTAGTCGACTACCCTACCCATTTCACTGAGATTTAACCCCAAGTTTTTACTTTGTACTTTTCCTTGATGACATCAACTTGTAGCTGATCTGGGAGGCACAGGAGCAGCTAATTTACCACGGAAAACAGGTGAAGTTACTGCACTTGAGAGAGAACTTAAGTCCACAGCAGGTCCCATCCTCTTGAATGGACTCTTGTCAATGGAACTCAAGTTCCTACAGCTTTTTCCAGGTTTTCCCTTCAGCTCTCTCCACTCTCTTGGGCTGTCCTCTAGGCCACTGCTAACATCTACTCATTCCCTGCAGAGTCCGTTTAAGGAAAGTTCCACTATCACAAAAGGGTCTTTCCTGCAACTGTCAGCACCTCCTGATCTAAAGTACACACCCTCTACCCTCGTGTTTGTTTTTCTTTCTTTTTTTTCTTGACACAGAAATTGACTCTTTCGCTCCGGTTATGGTGCAGTGACATCACTGCTAAATGATGGTAGCAACGGTAGCCTAAATAATGGTAGCCTAAAACTCCCACGCTCAAGCGATCCTCCTGCTTCAGCCTCCAGAGTAGCTGGGACTACATATGCGCTCCACTACTCTCGGCTGACTTTTCTATTTTTAGTAGAGAGGGGGGTCTCGCTTTGCTCAAGATGGTTTCATACTCCTTTCCTCACGGTCTCCCACAGTGCTGTCCCGGGATTACAAGAAAGAACTACTGCGCTCAGCACACCCTCTGCCCTTGAAGGATGAGCATTCCTCTTCCAACACGCACGCTAGGCCTCCAACCACAGATTCCTCACTTTACTGTTAGGAGCTCCGCAGAGTGTGAAGACTGTGTCAGGCTGCCCATCATTTACTATAGAAAGACCTAGTACAACGCACCACACTGGACGAAAATGTCTTGTCTACGGATACGTGGATCGTACAGGCCGGGTCTGGCCGGCGGGTCGATTACTCCATCTGAACAGAGTACCGCTACCCCTGGGCTCCCAGGCTGGCGGGGACCCAACCCCCAGCAGGCTTGAACTCAGGCGGCCCTGACCCCATACCTGGCTCCCGTCTGGGACCCGAGCAGCTGCGAGGGAAAGCGTAAGGTGGCGAAACCGAACAGCAAGCACCGCTCTCCGTGGCCAGCCACTGGGAGCTGGGCGACAAGAGCGACCACACAAGAACTTGCGCGGCGTCCACAGCCCGCCCGCACGCAGGACACACAGCAGCATCGCACCACCCACAGCGCCCATCATTTAAGGGTTGCCACCTGGTCAGAGCACAGACTCAGCCCGGAAAGACCCGGCGCTCCCCGACGACGTCACGCGAAGGCCAGCCAATCCCACCCCGCTGCGCCCCGGAGGCCCCCGACGCGCCTCCAGACGTCACTAACCGGTCGACCAATCCCGCCGCGCTGCGCCCTTGTCAACCCTCCTGCTCCTTGTCCCTTCGTCCTCTTTTCTGGAAGGGTCCGGCCGCTTCTAGCAAGCGCCTAGTCACGGTTTTGTGGCTCTGCGCACGCGTAGCGAGGCCGAGTCGAGGTGCGAGAGAGCTGAGTCAGGGCGGAAAGGTGCGCTTCCCAGGGCTGCCCCCCTTCCGGCTCAAAAGGCCTCTATGCCCCAGGAGGGGTAGATGGGGATGGTCAGCGGCAGGGTCATGCTGGGCCTTCCCCGCCAACCCTTCTGTCCTGGTGAAGAGGTCTCTGAAAAGCAAAAAGCAGCCTGTGTTTATTCATTCAGAGGGAACTCTGTAAAACAGAGAGCAACCTGAAGGAAGTAATTAAAACTGAAAAAACAGTGCAGGGCCCGAGAAAATTAAAGTAGGAGTAAACTTATTCAAAGTCAGATGGAACAACAGGGCAGAGGGGCGCCTATGAAAGCAAGCATAGTGAGAATCAGCTTGAGGGAGGCAGGCTATAAGGCAGGCATGACACAGCAGGTCTGGTTGGTTTAGGATCTGGCTGACCTTCACTCTCTCCCATTCTTACAGTTTTGTAAATTTAGCTCCCACCCCAAGGATGCCTATCTTAAGTAGTTTAGGTGGGTTGATTTAGGAGATTAAGTTTTGAATTGGAATGTTATTTTGGATCATGAGTTATACCAATTATTGTTTATTATGTATAGATCATGGTTCCTGCGGATTATTTAAAATAAAGGTTAACAGGTCTTCACTTTGAACTCAAATGTATAAAACTGTTAAGTTAGATGGAAGATCAGAACAGTCTTGGAGAAGCTACTGTTACTGTTTTCCAGAATCCTGGTCTTCTGACAAAGTTTGGTGGACCTATACGTATTTCTGCGTGTTGGCTGATAGTGACAGGTGGTGGGATCCTCTTTGTCCAGTAACACTACATGGTGTGAACTCTATTTTATCCCCATTGTCCTGTCTGCTCAGAAGGGGGTGTGTCAAATGAAAGTCTCTGGCCAAGGTACACCCTCATGTGGCTTGAAGTGCCTCCCTGGAAAGAAAGTGAACTGATGGCCCATGAGGGTGGGTAACAGGATTTCTTTTTTCTTGCTCTGTTTTCACAAGGGACAGTCGCACATCCTAATCTGTTTTGTGGCTCTGTGTTGGTTAATGGTGTGTCTTTCAACTCTTTGACCACCTAGGAACCTGCTGTTTAAAGCTCCAACACACTTTCACTGGGGCATGACATCAAGTCTTTGTTTTTGTTTTGTTTTTAATGTATTTTTAAGTAATTTCATTGAGTGGTTAAAGACTGAAAATGAGAGGTTAATCTGAGACATGAATGAAAGGAAGTGGAGTCCATGTTCTCAACATGGCCATTATTCACTCAGGTGTGAGCAGCTAAGTTGGAAAAAGAAGTCAGCACATGTGTTAAGGTGGGGTGGTACTGTAAGAGTAGGGGGAATAGGGATTGGCACACTCATTCCTTCCTGGGTGGGACTTTCATGCAGTCATTCTTTCCTGGTCGGTACGTTCTTTCCTGGGCTGAACAGTTCTATTTGGGCGGGTCCCTACATTCGGCCCTGTCATCCTGGTCTTTTAGTCTATTATATGGAGGTGGAGTCATGGGTGTAGTGTCTCTTTGACTGCTTCTTGCGGATTGAGGGTCTGTATGGGCTGCCTATGAGGAAAAAAGGGAAGGGGAAGTGAGTGGTGTTTACAGGAACACTGAAAGTCTGAATTGGTTAATATCCACGTAGGGTGAGGATATGAGCGATTGTTTTCCAGGTGACTGCTTGGTCAATAAATCAGGAGATGAGGTGGAGGATTGCTGGTCCAAAACTAAGAATAAGAAAGATCATAATTAGTGGCCCTAAAATAGTAAATAACCAAGGAGGCCAGGAATCGAGTAAGGACCAGGGATTAGGTGATTCAAGATGTTGTCTCTGTTTGATTTGTTCTCAGAGTTCTTTTACTTTGCCTTTGATTATTCCTGACTGGTTTACAAAAAATAACATTCTTCCCCCCCCCCCAAATATTGCATATACCTCCTTTTTCTGCTGTAAGTAAATCTAAGGTTCAGTGATTTTGGAGGACTACTGCAGCTGAAGAATTAATTTAGGATTGTAGGGTGACTAAAGAGTCTGCTACTCTTTCCATGTCTTCGTTAAGTTCTAGGGAGAGTTGGTGGTAAAAGTGGGTTGATGTACTAATGCTTACAATGCCTGTGCCAAGTCCAGCCACTATGCCTGTTCTGTGGATTAAAAGGAGGAAGACCTTTCTTTCTTTCTTTCTTTCTTTCTTTCTTTCTTTCTTTCTTTCTTTTTTATAGAGACAGAGTTTTACTTTATCGTCCTTGGTAGAGTGCCATGGCATCACACAGCTCACAGTAACCTCCAGCTCCTGGGCTTAGGTGATTCTCTTGCCTCAGTCTCCCGAGTAGCTGGGACTACAGGCACCTGCCACAACGCCTGGATATTTTTTTGTTGCAGTTCGGCTGGGGCTGGGTTTGAACCCACCACCCTTGGTATGTGGGGCTGACGCCCTACCCACTGAGCCACAGGTGCTGCCCAAGACATGTCTTTTTGTCTGGAAGTAGGGGGATGCATCAGGGCCTGAGTTAGGGAGGAGTTGTTCACAAAAGAGACTTGGGGAGTGAGGAAAACTCAGGTGCAAAGGCTGGAGTGCTTAGCATGCAGGCACTGACAGATGGAGTGGCCACAGAGGAAAAATATTCCCAGAGGGCCATAGGAGGAATCAGATAAGGGAAAAGTTGAGTTGAGGGAACAGAGATCAGGCTATATAAAGCGTACAGAGTTTCCCGTACTGGTGAGATTAAACTGGGGGAGGCTAGGGGTGGAAAGTCCATAGTTATGGGGCCTAACAGACCCGTGTTATTTTCTGCTGGAATGGAAGAGTTATATGTGTCAGGTATGGCTATGGGATTGAAAAGATTCTGGTATAAAGAAAGGCACATCCAGATCCTGAGAGGGAGAACAAGAGTTCAGGGCAGCTGAGAAGGAGGTGTTTAAAAGCCGGGGAATAAGGGAGTGGTGTTTTGCAGGACAGTGAGGTCTAAGCCTTTATAGGGTGGAGGGGTTATACTGGAAGAGAGGTTTTTTTTTTTTTTTAAGGATTTGTCTTGTTTCTTGCTGATGTGGTATGTCCTGAACTCCTCCTCCCTCTGCTAATCCTACATGTGTGAGATATGTCCAGCAGACAGTGGCTCTGACTCCACCTCTGGGACACCCAGTGTCTGTTATTTTGCTGGTCTAATACCTCTTTTCTCCATAAGAACATTCAGAGGCTTTGGCAACATTATAACAGCATGCTGGCATATAAGTGTAGCTAGTAAAAGAGGGGGTCTGAGGTAAGAATTGGGCGTAGTTGATGTGGGAGTGGGGGTAGGTAAGGTATTTATGGATATACGAGGTTTGATTTGTAAGACAACCTGTGCATTCAATCGGAGTTGATGGGGAGGGGAGAAGGGCCAGGACTGACAGGAGGGGTAGCAGAGGGAAAAGGAGTAAAAAGAGGAAAAACTGGGTTTCTTCAGGGAGAAGGTCTTGGAAGGTGCCTTGCAGCCACAGATCTTTAAAGCTTCAAAGAGGTCATTCCAACTTTGAACGTGTGAGAACAGCCAGGCAGGTTGAGAAAAGTTATGGAGAAAAGGGATGAAGTGGGGAGGAATGTTGCACATTTATAGGGAAGTGAACTCTTTGGGGATCCTGGTGAGTTTTAGGGTGGTGGGGGATAGTACTTGCGATTTCCAGTGGGAGTCTTCCAGTGTTGGAAGTTCTTCTGCTTTATGCAGGATCGGTCCATCCAGACTAGGGGGTCCAAGAGGCGAATGGCCATGGGGGTGCTGTAGAGCATGATGTGAGGACCAGCGAGGAGATAGATAGAGTCCTGCAGGGCAAGGGAGATTTGAGGAAAACTTGTTGCCCTACCAACTGGTCTCTGACTTTCTCTGCTGAGGGTTGGGGTAGGAGCTGGCCTATTGTTTTCCTAAGTTCATCCCTGGTTTCCTGGAGGATGGGAAAATAGTTTTTCTGATAGAGTCTGAGGGGGTCCAGGGTCCAGAATAATAGTTCTGCCATACATTATTTCAAAAGGACTGTAAAAGGGGTTTGC